GGGGGACAGCTAGCCAAAAATATCTGTGTTTTTCACCAGTGGCTGGCAGGCCAGAGGTGTGAATTGCCGGTCACAAAAAGTGGTCTGCCAGCCACAGAGAATCTGCTTCCAGGCCCGACTTTAAATAGGCATATCTCCCTCATCCGGACTTGGTTTTAGGTGATTCTTAAGTCTAAATTGAAGCCCTGAAGTCTACTTTCCAATGGTGGCAGCCTCACATCTAAATTCTAAGTGTGCAAAGAGATATGCATATTTTAGTGAAGGTTGCTCGTTTCTATCTTAATCGGATTGATGCCTAACTTCAAACAGCCATATCTCCCTCATCTGGACTCGGCTTTAGGAGATTCTTAAGTCTAAATTGAAGCCCCAAAAGTCCACTTTCCAATGGTGGTGACCCCACAACTAAAGTCTAAGCGTACAAAGAGATAGGCCTGATTTAGTGAAGGCTGGTCAGTTCTCCCTTAACGGTTCCATGCTCAACTATTTCCCCAACTAGTTTTCTTCTCTCTTCTCCAGTTTTCTTCAACTCCAAACCTATATATAAGAGGTTTTAAAGATTTTTCAAAGAGTTCACCTCTCTTCCATTTATTTTCTCTTTGCCCTTACTCGATTTACCGAAAAGTGTAACTTTTAAACAGAGCAGGATCTCTGCTGCAATGCAATATCTTGCTGCTCTGTTGATTTGTTGCTATCCTGCATGCTGATGTGCTGTCTTGTTTTGGGTTGCTGGGCTCTTTTGGTTTGCCGTTGTGCTGATATGTTGTGCTCTTTTGGTTTGGTTTGCTGCTGTGCTGATACACTGCAATCTATTGTGTTGTTGTGTTGTCTAGCTGTGCTCTTTTTCATCTGTATCTTGTTTTTTGTTCAGGGTGCCTATTTCATGTTAGATATGGTTTTTGAACAAAAGTATGGGTTAGATAGTTTAAGATTGCTTTGTGTCAAGATGCTAGCCTTTTGTCTTAGCCTTTTCTTTGGGTTTTAGCTATTCGTCTTTTGCTTTGTATAATTCTGCAGGGGCCTGGGCATCTCCTTTGTAATCTTATAATTTTTTTATTTTTATTTTATGACTTATTCACCAAAAATAAAAAAAATAATAATAAAAAAGCTTTCCATGTAATCTTTATTAATTTTGTAACAGCCATTATAATTCCTCAAGCATAAGAAACGTTTCTTCTTACCACTATGTGAAGGTAAAATGCTATTATGAGGAGGTGTTCAGGTGATGAATCAAATTAGTTGTGCCTTGGTGTACCCCAACTTTTAAAGTTGTTTTAGGCCTCTACTTATGTAGCATGTTTGTACATTGTTAAAGCATTGTAATACACTCCTTTGTCAATTAAGGCACCATTTGGCATAATTTATCAAAGTGGATTTTTTTTATCTTTGTGGTTTTTTAGTCATATTATCTCTTTATTTTTGTGTACGTATTTTTGTTAAAAATTAAAAAATATATTTATTTAGATCATTTTAAATACCTTTTAAATGATGCTCTTGTATTTCTAATTTATAATGCTAATTGTACATTTTCTTGTACTCGTTTATTGCACTATTTCTATTGTTTGCTTATCTACTTGCTTCAAAGATGTATGAACCAAACACCCCCAAACACTTGGTTATCGCCTCTCCAAATCCAGCCAGCATATCCATGCGCTAGTCACTGCGAACCCTCTCCTAGCCATGTCACGTAACTATCAGATCTCATACAAACAGTATCATTTTTTACGCCTGAAGTGATTTTTTTAATAGTTTTTGACATTTTAGGCTTCGTATAGAATGTGAATTCGGAGTTAAATTAACTAATAACAATAAAATAGGACTCCAAATCCAGCCAGCATATCCATGCGCTAGTCACTGCGAACCCTCTCCTAGCCATGTCACGTAACTATCAGATCTCATACAAACAGTATCATTTTTTACGCCTGAAGTGATTTTTTTAATAGTTTTTGACATTTTAGGCTTCGTATAGAATGTGAATTCGAAGTTAAATTAACTAATAAAAATAGGATAATTTAATTAATATGATAAAATGTCACATTTAAACTATAATCATTTTATTTTTTCTCTTAGAACTATCAAATCAATTATAAAATATATATATATATCAAAAATTTATTCCAAATAGAAATTTTTAAAAAGTCAGACTAAAAAAGTATTTAGTATCCCAAATGAAGTCTTAGCCAAAATAGGAAATGAATAAAATTAATATGCTTAGAAATGATTTTTTAAAAGTAGAAATGGTAGAGGTTAATAAAAAATGAGATAGACTAATGTTATAAATGGAAAAATTTTAGAAATTCATAATTTTAAATCTTTAAATTCACTAGTAAGTGAGTTGCCCTATATATATGTGACAAATAAAAAATTGACACAGGTCATATCACATTGTGGGTTAAATTAAGATACTTTTTTAGAAGTTTCAAATATTTTCTATTAGAAAAATTATTAGAAAAAGTGGAGAAACTCAACATAATTAGTGTTTATGTGCTCCAAATAAGTATTAAACTAGTTTTTTACCCGTATTATGTATATATTGTATTTAAAATTTAATTTTACATAAATGTAATTCAGAGGATTTTATGTATAAAAATTATTATTATTATTTGTGCACAACAATCCAAGATAATCACAAATATGTAAAAATATATATAGGAAAGTAATTATATTATGAGAAAATGTTTACATCATCAAACACACTACTAAACCACAATAGTTAGAAAATCAACGAGGCCTAAGAGTTCTAGCTAAGCTGCCAATCAAGCGAAGTCCAACCTCCACAATGGAGGAGAAATAAACTAACCACCACAAAGTGTATCAAATTCTTCTTCATAGGAATTAAAACGAAATCCTCACATCACAAAACATGCTGTACAATCACTATACCAAATCCCTAGTCAAATATTTATAAATATATAACTTTATATTGCGCAGGTTTTTTAAAACTCTCCATTTCATTTCATAGGGTTGCAACACATAGTAAAAACTCAAAATTAGATCTCTATATTTATTGATAGGGGTGAGCAAAATTTGGTTTAAAACTAGTTCTGTCATTGTACAATAGCCCACTAGCAGGAGAAGAGGTTAAAGAACAAATGAATATATATGGAATACTAATAAGATACTCAAGTGTCTACAATAACAAATTAAGATATATATATATATATATAAGAACTGTTCAATTTGATTTTAAACTGAAATCATAACTATAAAATTATGAATTGAATCGTGAAATACAATTTGCCTACTTAAAAAATCAATTGGAAAAAACAAACCAAACCATATGATTTGGTCTAGATCAAACCGATTTGTCATTTTTTGATTTTTCTATTTAGTCGTATTTATTGATGTGGATCTTGTAGAAGGGATTGATCATGAAATGGATCTCTCCATACTACTTAACTTATAAAATGAAGAAGATCGGAATCTGTTGGGGTAATATATCTTGCACAAAAAAATGCATACTAATTTAGTTTAGGAAAATGAATGAGACTCCCTTTTTAGAAGACCCCCACAATCCCCATAGTGATTCACACCATTCATGATGTGTGGAGCACACTCATGTATGTGTGGATTTCACATCATGAATGATGTGGATCACTATAGGAGTTGTGAGGGTATTCCAAAAAAAGGTCTCTATTATTGCTCTTTAGTTTAAAGGCACAAGTTTACTTATAGTACGGCAAGTTTAAGAAGACGTAGATACTAGTACAAAAGATATCAGGCAGACAAAGACCCTGTTTGGTAGAGTTGTGGGAAAGTGCTTATAGCTTATGCCTAAACAGCTTATAGCTTATAACTATGAACATAAGCTGATTTCTGACTTATAAATTAAGCATCTCCAGCCCCACTCAAAGAATAAGCTGATTTCTGACTTCCAAAAAGCTATAAGCTATAAGGTATAAGTTAAACTAAACACATCAAAATAACTTAAATTAAGTTAAAAGCTGAAATAAACTGCTTTTAAATTCTGCCAAACAGGCACAAAGAGTGTATCTATAGAAGGTGATCTTAGTGAACGTGTAGGATATTTAAAAAAATAAATTAAATAAAATAAAACAAATAAAATGATTAAAGCAGTACTATATGTTGGAATTTGCAATGGGAAACACAGTTTTAAGAAAATGAATGAAATTTTTTTAATAATCTATGCTATATATAAAGGCAACACTCTACTGGTACCTTGAGACCCTTTGGGAGCTTCTATTTGCACACACCCATTATACTCTATACACATCCTTCTCAATAAATAACTTATTCGGAAGTAGCATTCTGAAAATTATCATTTCTTTTGACAACAAAATTTTGAATTTTTTTTATTTTTTCGACATTCAACTTCCGAATGTATTTATTTGAATTGTGTGTGATGTCCATAATAGTAATTTTACTTGGGAATAAATTGTAGTAAAAATAATTATCATTAAGCGTGTGCACAGAGTGAAATGTTTGTGTGCAAATAGAAGCTCCCGACCCTTTGCCAAATGAATTTTTATATATTTCTAAATTACCCAAAATACCCTCATATAATTGACTAACCGTCTTGCTGCCTAAAACTCGTCAATTTCATATTCAAATTCAAGTTAAAAATAATTGTATTTCACAGATTGAACAGCATACGCATCATAAAACTCGCCAATTTCATATTCAAATTCAAGTTAAAAATAATTGTATTTTACAGATTTAACAGTATACGCATCAGGTATGCACACACTGCTAATATTTAAAAGTGAAACTAATATTAGCATAATAAATTTCTTTGTTACTAAGAGCATTGATAAAGGATTATCATCTAAAGAAGACCATTGGGTCATGAGGTAGAAATGGGTTTGTTGAAGAAAATTGAAAGGAGCCAGCCTCTTGAATGGATAGTCTAATTAGAACCTTTAACTAATCAAAATATCATATGCAAAAACAATTCCTTCACTCACAAAGCACCATAACACACAAAAGCCCAAACAAAAAAGTAGCCTCAACAATAAAGTAGTGAGAAAATGAAACATATATTATAAATTCAAATTTAAAGTTACAGGAGCCACACTTTATTTTTTGACAGATCCTGAGATAACTTTTTCAGGCTTTGTAACATAGTTTAACATTTGGACACACAGATTCAATATCATAAAAATAACAATTTGGTAGAGTTAAATGTACACCCCCATAGCATTACAAGCTTACATTAACTCCCTTGGGAGAGAAAAAAAAAAGGTGGAAGAGAGAAAACACACCATCTCAAATTCAAAGGTGGGGAAGAAAACCACAGGGCTCCATTTGCAATAGAACAGCCCAAAGCTTCAAAAATTAATCACAAACCCTTCTGTGGGGCATTCAAGTCATTGTGGAATAAACATGAGTTGTGTGAACCATCCTCATGTCACCTACTCCTCCCCACATTAAAACCTATTGTGGTGTAGAAAAACACATCATTTGGGCCATCATATCAGGGAGGACCAAAAAAAAATAAAACATGAGTTTATTCATACTCATGTACTCCTCCATTTTGACTAGTGGATGAACCCCAAAAAAAAAAAAAAAGTTGGCATTCCCCCATTAACGAAGGAATTTTTTTTTTTTTAATATCCATATTTTGTAGTCTTTCCCAGTATAAAAATGGAACATAAATATTCCTATGAACACGGGACTCCTTGAGGGGCTTATTTATTCAACTGTCCCTCTTCACAAAAACTATCTTCGGGTTGGGGAGAAGCTGATTCATCATCGGCTTTGGGTCATTCTCAGAACCTGGTTGAAGCCTTATCTGCAGATATTTCAATCATATAACAAAGAACAATTAGACCCTGAAATGTGTGCACTGTGTTATTTATTTTCTTCTCTTTTGGTCAAAAATGGGAAGTAGAAATCAAGGCAGATATATCCCCAGGAGCAATAAAGTAACGAAAATCATCAGAAATTTGATTTGTCACAAAAGCTGAGAAACTCAAACCCCAATATTTGTTATGAAAGTGTAAACCAGCAATGTCGCCAATAAAAATATCTGGTTAACCACATGGAAACTTAGACTAAGGTAATTCTACAGCATAATTCTCAAAAAAATAGTTCAACAAAAACTCACAACCCCTGCCATACAAAATATCAGTGAAAAAGCAAAATAATTCTTCCCTTTCTTGCAGCTAACAGGAATCGTTAATTAAAAATCTATAATTCTACATAATCTATTAAAGAAAAAACAATAACAAGTCAAATGAAGAAACACCATCTAGTTTTCCTTTAAACCTACTTACAAACAGGTTGCACCCCTAGCACCACAATTCTCCGTTATCACAATCTTATGATTCACGATTTATGTCTACATCAATGTAAATATATTTTGGAATAGAAATGATGGTTAATCATTCAATTCACTATTCAATTTACATTTTACGATTCATGCAATTTTTAAACAACCGGGTCTGACGTATTCTAACCCCTTTTACCGCATTTTTTTGGGTACAAATGTCATAATATGACTTCTAGGGGTGTTTAATACGAAAATAATCAATAACTAAAACATGATTTGTTATTATTTTGATGATAAAATGATTTTATATGATCTAATTAGACCCAAGAGCTACTTAACCTATGTTTCTCATTTTTTTCCTCAAAAAAAAATAAAAATAAAAATGTAAAAAAACATCTTCTAACAATGTTTAAAGCAAAAGGAACATGCACCCATGAATTTGTCTGTTGTTACTTTTGGGGAAATAAATATGCTTTAGTATGACATGTGTAAGAATTTATGTATTATTGATTGATGTCTTGATTGATAGATTACAAGTGTTGTTACTTTTGGGGAAATAAATATGCTTTAATATGACATGGGTCTGACCACTCAGGACAGTTGCACAACTGTTTTTTACTCTTTTTTTTTTAGCAATAAGCATCCACACCATTTTAAGTGTTCTAGGTTGTTAAATAAAATGTCGCCACTTACCCTTTCTTCTCATTATACTCTTTTAGGGCTTCTAAATCCTTTTTTTGAATGTGACAAGAGAATATATTATGGTTTTTAAATAATTTTAAGATTGGTGGGATTTGGACATACATCTCTCTATGAAGGTAATGATTTTTCCAATAGATGGTATAACTATAAAAGAACTATATGTAACATGTGCCAAAATCAATTTATTTTATTCTAGTTTTATATATATGATTGTTTAACTTCAATTTTATACTTCATGTTGAATCCTATGGTTCTCAATTCGATTCAATTCATGGATTCGCAAAATTAGGATTTTGATTTATGAAATGATTCTTAATTTGACAACTGTTAGAATTTCCCATCTTTACTTTCACCTACTCCACTACACACTCCACTTCACCTACCTCCACTTCACCACACACTCCACTTCACCTAACCCACTATCACCTCCACTACACCTTCTCTTTCTCTATACATTATTTCTTACATGTCCCATCTTTACTTTCACCTACTCCACTACACACTCCACTTCACCTACCTCCACTTCACCACACACTCCACTTCACCTAACCCACTATCACCTCCACTACACCTACTACCACATTTTCTTCTATATATAGATTGTATAGGAATTGTAATTTATCAATCTCGTAATACAACAATCTTGTAACATCAATCAATAATACATAAATTCTTACAACAACTACTATTCCACAATTGTCATAGTTGAGCATTAAAATGACAGCAATCTTTCGATGTAGGAGGCCTTGTTGTGCAATACCTATGACATTAGCAAATTCCTCCAGGCATGAACAAGTTGAGTTGGTAGAAGGTAGAGCCTTATTGAATGCTTGACAAGTTGATAAACAACGCCTACTGTAGGTACAAGGTATATTTTCCATGTGACAAGCCACATACATTGCCACATCATCACCTCCATGAATATTGGTACCACATGTTAGCCTCATGAGGTGTCACGTGTACCAATGATACACTGCCATGTCTTCGCACTCCCTCCATTGTTTAGCTATGTGGGTCGAGACTAACAGATGCTATGCCTTAATCTTGACCTTTGGAATTTATAGGAACAATCTCCAAGAAACACCATAGATAATCTCACCCAAATGCACTCAGATTCTCCTAGGACCAAACTGTGCAATTCTCCACCTCAATACATTTTTTCCTCCCCATGGGCTGAGTAACCCTCCGCTTAAATGGGTCTTTCCATTGCCTCACAGAACAATGGCACCCAATGCTTCCAAGCCATCCTAGGGCAAGGCATAAGGCTAGGGACCACCTTGGGGTTGTTGCCTGGCTCATGGGGCGCCCGAGGAATACCTTATGAGCATCATGTGAGATCTCTTAGGTAATGTGGCTTTGTGGTTTGAGTTGAGGGTTAATCAAGGTGTCCCCCACTCTCCCTTGACAAACTTGAGCATTGACCGATCTTGGAGAAAATGAAGGTGTTCTCCAAAATATAGATGGTGTGCTTTGTGTGTTCCCCGCACTTGAGGAGGATGCTCTACCACCTTTGTAGTCTATAGCCTTCAAATATTTTGGCGGTTTGGCAGTGCCAAACGAAAAATATGAATATAATAATTAACTAGTAAAATATAGTGGAATTATTTTTTTACTATTAGAGAAGTTCTACTTGAAAAAGGAAATCAACCAAGACCCCATTAGTAGCAACGAGCGAGAGTGGGTTGGGTGTTTGAAGAGAAACAAACACAAAGCTTCGTTCCTTAGCATAGTTTTCACTTCTTTTTCGCCAAGTTTCATTCGATTTGTTGTGGATTGGACGATGGAAAAACCAGCAAGCTACGGCTTCAAAGCTTACCTTTTTATTAAAAAGAGAAATCACCCCAAGGATGCCTTCGGCATCTAGGGGTCACGGGCCAACCACAGAACCATGCTCAATAAGTTGAACACATTAGCTGTCCGCTTTCAAGTTGGGCAGTAAGTGTAGCACTCTAGAAAAAATAAATAAATAAATAAAAATAAAAATTCCTTCTCATCACTCGAGCGATGGAATGATCGCTCGAGCGGTTTTGCGAAGCTTCCAGTATTTTTGCAAGTCTGAAATTCTGGAAGTTGTTGATTTTCACTCGAGCTCAGGGTTGATCGCTCAAGCAATGTGATGTCTCTAACACACGAGTGCAGGAGTGGCCGCTCAAGCGGTCTGTTCAGGATTCAGCATCTATAAAAGCCCTTTTGGTTCACTTTTCTTCATTCTTTCATGCTCTTTCTCTCTCCTCTTCCTCCATTCCGCCATTTTTGAGGGTTTCAAGCTTTCAAGATTGATTTTCATCTCTTTTTATTCATTTTTTAACCCATGTTCCTTTTATAAAAATGTAGAGCATGCCGAGGGCTATCCATCCATCCAAGTGGATCGCATTTTCATCAAAGTTGGAATTTCGGGTTTCTTCTCTCTTGCTACAGGTAGGGATTTCCTTACTTCTTTACAATATTTTCTTATAGATAGATGGGTGGTAGTTTGTGTATTGCATAAAAACCTCTTATTAAGGATATTTTCTCAAAAGCATGAAAAGGGAGTTAGGGTTTTCAAAATAATGGAATTAAATGTAAAATTGAGGTGGGTTATGGAAGTGTTGGGTTGTTAAAATATGATTTTGTGCCTCAAGGTAAAAAACCCTAACTTTGGTCTAACCCTAATTATGGACTTACTTTAAAAATGAGTATTTGTTATAATTGACTTCAATTTCTTGAAATCAAGTGTGCGATTGGAAAAGACGAGTATAAGTAATGTAAAAATTTATGTATTATTGATTGATGTTTATTGATATATTACAATGGATCGCATTTTCATCAAAGTTGGAATTTCGGGTTTCTTCCCTCTTGCTACAGGTAGGGATTTCCTTACTTCTTTACAATATTTTCTTATAGATAGATGGGTGGTAGTTTGTGTATTGCATAAAAACCTCTTATTAAGGATATTTTCTCAAAAGCATGAAAAGGGAGTTAGGGTTTTCAAAATAATGGAATTAAATGTAAAATTGAGGTGGGTTATGGAAGTGTTGGGTTGTTAAAATATGATTTTGTGCCTCAAGGTAAAAAGCCCTAACTTTGGTCTAACCCTAATTATGGACTTACTTTAAAAATGAGTATTTGTTATAATTGACTTCAATTTCTTGAAATCAAGTGCGCGATTGGAAAAGACGAGTATAAGTAATGTAAAAATTTATGTATTATTGATTGATGTTTATTGATATATTACAATGATTCATGATTCCTATATATAGAAGAGGGTGAGTGTGTAGTAGGTAAGGAGTAGGTGAAGTGGAGGTGGTAGTGGTGTAGTGGGTTAGGTTTAGTGGAGTAGGTGAGGTGGTAGTGGTGTAGTGGGTTAGGTTTAGTGGAGTAGGTTTAAGTGGGTGAAGTAGGTGATAGGTTTTAACAAGTAATGAGACTTAATTGTTGTGAAAATAATATTGGTATGTGAGGGTTATGTTTGGGAAGAATTGATTGTTAGAAATTGAATTAATAATGTTAGGGGAAGTGTAGGATTCTAATTGTGTTTTATAAGTGAATATAACGAATTGGTGTTAATTGTAGAGAAGTAAAGAATATTGTGGAAAAACAAATTGTAATTGTTTCTAAAAATAACTCCTGTGTTTGTTATGGAATGCGTTGTTGGTGAATTGTATAACGTAATCAATGAACAATGTTGGTGGTTATCCATGAGTTGTAAGAACGAATAACATAATGAATTGATGGATTATGATATTGAAATAAGGGTCCGTTTCCTTCCGGCTTGTGACCGGTAAAGCATGGCGCTTGACAAAGGTTCCGCATTCCTTCCGGAGTAGCACCCGGAAAAGCGTGTGGTCTGTTGAGATGTGTTAAGGTTCCGCGATCGAGAAAAAAAAGCTAGCAGCAGATCAAGTAATGCCAGTGGAAACATCTATATAGTGAGTAGTTTTGTGGTTTTTCATCATCTTTGGCCTTTACACAACGAGAGAGAGAGAGAGAGACAAGAAGTAGGCACTTTTCAACACTAGAATTTGGGTAACACATCTTTTGGAATGCGAGACAGAGAGACAACAAGTAGGCACTTTTCAACACTAGAATTTGGGTAACACATCTTTTGGAATGCAATTTTGGTTCTGTACAAAAATGGAGATAGAGGAAGCTTCCAAATAAGGAAGACAATGCAGTACGTTTTCGAATTAGTATTTTTAGATCAAGCCACAGTAAATAAGATAGTTTTTATCGTCTGCTCTTTTTGTCATGATCTTTAACAACTGCCCCCAAGCTCAATTGACAGAAGGTGACTAAGACTCTAGGGCACCGACAAAGGTGAAAGAGAACCTGAAATATTTCTTAACATTAGTTGTAAGGGAATTTTACTAATCGTAATTTATCTATATTTCGGTAAATACTGATCCACACAAGTTATAACTCTATTTAGGTCAGTCTTGCAAACTATTTTAAGAAACACGCCCGTGAAAAACATTCATCAAGTGGAAAGCCTTCATCACTGCAAAGAACTTTAAATTGGTTCTGCCATTGGTCTTGGCATTTTTCTGTAAATATTCAAATCCAATTATATTCCTATTACCCTATTATAGATAGGAGTCCTTTGCTTTGAACAGAAAGAGCTATTCTAGGCATCTTAACCAATATTCCATTAGGTATTCAGGGCCCATTGGGGGATAGGCTTATGGTTATGCAAAATTGATTGTTAAGCATTGGTAAAGACATATAAGTTCATAATCAATTTAGTGTTTGGATGTGGAATTCTAAAAGCATTAAAATTATAAAAAGCGATTATTAGAAGTAGGCACTTTTCAACACTAGAATTTGGGTAACACATCTTTTGGAATGCAATTTTGGTTCTGTACAAAAATGGAGATAGAGGAAGCATCCAAATAAGGAAGACAACGCAGTACGCTTTCGAATTAGTATTTTTAGATCAAGCCACAGTAAATAAGATAGTTTTTATCGTCTGCTCTTTTTGTCATGATCTTTAACAACTGCCTCCAAGCTCAATTGACAGAAGGTGACTAAGTGAAAATTGGGACTCTAGGGCACTGACAAAGGTGAAAGAGAACCTGAAATATTTCTTAACATTAGTTGTAAGGGAATTTTACTAATCGTAATTTATCTATATGTCGGTAAATACTGATCCACACAAGTTATAACTCTATTTAGGTCAGTCTTGCAAACTATTTTAAGAAACACGCCTGTGAAAAACATTCATCAAGTGGAAAGCCTTCATCACTGCAAAGAACTTTAAATTGGTTCTGCCATTGGTCTTGGCATTTTTCTGTAAATATTCAAATCCAATTATATTCCTATTACCCTATTATAGATAGGAGTCCTTTGCTTTGAACAGAAAGAGCTATTCTAGGCATCTTAACCAATATTCCATTAGGTATTCAGGGCCCATTGGGGGATAGGCTTATGGTTATGCAAAATTGATTGTTAAGCATTGGTAAAGACATATATGTTCATAATCAATTTAGTGTTTGGATGTGGAATTCTAAAAGCATTAAAATTATAAAAAGCGATTATTTGACCATTTGGCTAAAATCCTTCAATTATGTAGATGCCAAAATGCCAACTTCACCCTTGGGTCAATTTAACATTGATTTATGAATCATTGATATCTATTGGTAAATATAAAATAATTATTAAAAACAAGAACCAAATAGAAAATTTAATTAAAAAAATATGCATGTGCTTTCACTGTACAAACATGATTAAATAAGCATTGGTTTCAAACATATATGTGTAGGCTTTTTCTGCATGTATTACCACCATCTATGTAATAATCCACATAAGTTCCCAAAAAAAAAAAAAAAACACTAACTGAATAAACAAATAAGATATCATTCATGTAAATACATTTCATTAAAAAAAATTGTATATTAATGATTTGTTTAAATGTTTAAGTTGATAAAAAACCTTAAAATTGGGCTTACTGGTTGTTGAAGCTTAATTCCACATATTGGCTAGAGACTAGAGTTCAAGTCTTGGTAACTCTTCATCCTTCCTCATTTTACCATTTAATGTGGGGTTGAAGTATAATATGGAATAAGGTAAAGGGAATAATTGGTATCATAGTGAAAAAATTCAAATTTGAAAAATCATGTTTGCCACCAAAAAGCAGCTTGGGAACTGCTTATGCCAAAATGTGGGTTTCCACACTTGGATCACATTTGGACAATGCTTAATTGGCGGTTGGGCCTCAAACCTGCTTCAAGGCTACCAATTATGGTTCCCAAGCAGAGCCTCACCTCAGCTAGACAGCCAAAATAAGTCGAGGCAACATTTTTTATATTGGGAGCTAAAAAAATAACAGTATAGCAAATAATGGGAGGAGAAATCAATATTGGAAAGTACAAACCTCATAGTGTTCGAGCAATGATGCAAATAATGTGGCAACTCCAAGGATTACAAATTTCTGGCCAAGGCAGGCTCGTGTACCAGATCCAAATGGAAGAAATGCAGCATTTTCATTTGGGTCGTTTAAAACATATGTGCCCTGTCCCACATCCACACGTTCTTCTGCAAACACCAAGAAAAAACATTACCAAAGGCTCATTACTCAGCTTGTAGGTTTGGAAGGTTGGATCTTAAATGCCATGTTCTCCCAACTATAACATGCAAATTTTCCTACTTTTTCCAACTTTCTAAGTTGTACCTGTGTATAGTTGCCAAGTGATGATTCAAATCAGACAAACATGAACAAACCTCCAAATGTAGAAGCATCACTTCCAAACAATCTTAATGCACATCCATTTAACTGCCAAGCTAGATCTAAAAATTTTATAAAAAAATTTAAAAAATTACCAAGGTCGTTTGGTTTGCCCATCTTTTTACAGGCCACACATTACACCATGGAGTCCAAAAAAGGAGTCAATTATGCCATGTTAAAAAACAAAAACAAAACGAAACAATCCTGTTGCTGCCAGCATGACTTACATAGGACAGAGCAAACTGGCCTTTAATACTGAAAATTGATTACTTTCTATAAATTTAAACTTGGCAGATGAAACGCAATACGACGAATATCTAAAGCATATTGTGAATAAATAACAAAGGTGATGGACAGAAGTAAAACCTGCAAATGGCATTACGTTGACGATATTAGATTTCTTTTCAGCCTTTGAGAGAAAACGGTATGGATTAAACTGGTTAGCATCACTTCCCCAACTGGAATCATCCATTTGCACCAACTGTACTGGCACGACTAGTATTGCTCCAGCTGGTATCATTACACCTGTTTTAAGATTGAAGTCTTCAACAAGAAAAGAGAAGGAAAAAAATTATCAATTGCCATATAAACAAATAGAGAAAACCAAAAATATAAACAGACATAGGACAATAAGCTGAGCACAACATCTGTATAGCATGCTAAGGAACAAATGAGTAGTCATAGACAAATATGAAAGACGCTACTACACAAGAAAACAAGAATGAAGTATTGATTCTAGAAATCTACAATGAAATTCAGCTATTCACAAAGCAAGAAAAAACGTAAAATCTCATGGAATCATTTTTCTCTGATCTGCAAATTTTGTTTCATCAATCTGCAGTAAACACTTTTTTTGTATGCATTTGTAATCTCCATTAGTTGCATCATCCTCTTTTATATCTTTTTCCAGCACCTATTGCAAACAAATCTTTTGCACATTAACCACCAAAGAATATTCTATCCCAATATTAATAATCATGTACTTCTAGCTAGTCATGAAGTTTAGCAGCACCCACAGAAAAAAAAAAAAAAAATAGCACCTGAATGGTTCCAAACTTATGGCTCACCTTTTCAGACAAATAATGACAAATTTAGACACTTTAATAGCAAATTTTAACAAAACTTTTGTTTACCAGATACATACTTCCTTTCCAAATCCTGGAGGGCAATTTCTACATTTTCTAATTCCAAAATTAGCCCTCAGTCAATGGTATATTTAAATGTAACTTTTAACCAAAATGAGACACCTATTGGATTGCAAATCAAAATTCGAATACAAGTACACAACTGCAATCTTAAGAGAATGAAGTCAGAAGTGACATCTTTTCAAAATGTCTCCTTTTTATTATGATCTACCAGTAAAATAAAAGCAATAATGCTACAATGACCACATTTGATGCACCATGTGAGTTGTCATTGGTGTAATGGGTCCCATCACTTTCCATGCAATAATGACTACTCACATGATAAACCAAATGTGGTCATTGTAACATTATCGAAATGAAAGAAACACAAATGCCTCTTTCTTTGTGCTCAAAAAAAGAAGAATCACCAATAGATTAACAGTTTGTTGTATCAATATTTTCTTTGGGCATTGACTCTGCCGGTTTACTCTATACCTTAGCCTAACAATAACAGTTTCATTAAATCAAATATCCTAATCCTAACTATTTGGCAAATTTCTACTATGTGTGTGTGTATTTGTGAAGATGAATGTGTTTGCATGCAAACCAACCTTCAATGCATTAGATTTCTTCTTTGATTTCCCATGGCTTAACACCCTTTGGGTGTCCCTCTCAGCCTCTCCCATATCAAATACACCCTTGGCATGGTAGCGTAAACCCACTGCCAGACACCCCACCACGCACCACCTAGATAGTGCTATTGCTGTAAGGTGAATTTTAATGTGGGTTTTATCACCATAAACATTGCACTTTTCCAAGTCCATCAAAAAGGGTGATATATTTGTGTTCCCTAGAAATCTAGTTCATTTCCAGAAGAACAATGGTAACTTGCCGCCTTCAACAGCAAATTGCCCGATATCCAGGCCATTTCGACGACATTTTTAACCTCAACACCAATGTGTTAGCCAAGTGTTTCAGGTTGGTGTCAAGGAGGCTGAGGGAAGTTAAGGCTTGCACCCAAGTAAATAAGACACTAAAATGTATTGGATTTGGGGGTCATTGTTGTTTTCCTAATTAATTGTCCATTGATAAAGATTCATAGGTTCAAGAAAATAATTAGTAGGTGGGTGGACATTTGAAGTTCTTTTCTATGTTAAATGTCAATCCATACAAATGTTGCTACAAGTGAGATTTTTGTTTTATGCTTCCTGCTTCCTCTCAATCCTCAAAATAATGGATACGTATTCAATTTCTTTCATTGGTCCATATAAAGAATCACAAATAGATGAATCCACACAATTCTAACCCTTTCATCAGTCCCTATAAAGAAGCATAAATAGAGGAAGTCTATTACTTTCAAAAAATGAAAAAACTTAATTGTAGGTGAATCCACAAAGCTTCCCCAGATTTAGGAAGAATATATATATATAACAAATCGCAAATTTGCAATAGAAATCTCTTAAACTTCTCTAACCCCAAATTTATTCACCAGAAATTAAGCAAAAGAGATAAAGAAAACACAAGAACTTCATTGAAGAATCGGTATAATGCATGTGGGAGCAAATCAATCTCATATTCATACACCACTAAATGTGTACATATATATAAATGCATGTAGCGGAAGGTCAAAAAGTTGACTGAGATAGTTTGAACTAAATTTAGATGGCAGAAGTAGCAGTGAAAGTGGTCTGTGCTGAGTGAGTGTCAAACACAGAGAGAGAGAGACTATAACATGAAGTAGAAGTAGAAGTAGAAGCAGAAGTAGAAGCAGAAGCAGGAGCTGCTTCTTCCACTTTTTTGCACAACGGTGCTTGCAACATGTTATAAAGAGACATGACTTGTCCACCTTAGTTGTGCAGTTTAAATTAAACCCCAAAAAAATCGTTAACTTATCAGACAATGTAGTAATGTGGTGCATCTTTAGGGTGTCGAATGATCATTTACCTCTACATCGATCTCTTTTCTTATTCACATCAAAAGTATATAGTGATTTATAAACGCACATTCGTGCACCCTATACAAAAAATACTCTTGGCTCTCAAGACAAATCTAAAAATCATAATATTGTAGATGGGGAATGGACTTGCCAGGCTTAGGGTTATATGCGAATTTCAGAAAAGGATTTTAATCCAACATTGGCTGCTATAACTCACAACAAACGCATGAACAGTTATTGATGTAAGTTATGTAACAACAATGAGACACCAACTAAAGCACCACATAAACAAATGCATCTCGTCACAAAGGTGTTAGGTCCCATAACATAAGAATGTTGTGGGACCCACCACCATTTTGAGAAAGGCAATGGTTTATGCACACCTTGAGAAAGGCGGTGGTTTATGCAGCATTTTAGTTGGTGTACATAAACTTCTTGTTTATGTGAATTCAATTGACAGAAAATAATTGCTTAAACGAGATATAAAAATAAATAAGTTTCTTCTCACCATGTTTGAGAGAACATCTTTGTAGCAAGGGCCCAGCTGGAAGAAGCCGAGCAGATTCATATAGAGTGGCCAATAAAAAGAGCATCTGCTTGACACTTTGTTGGTCTTGACCTAGTGAACCTTTCCGCACCATAATTATCTCAGAGTGAATCTGTAGATAATTAACATAAGACAACATGGGCAGGAAAATTGAAATTTCAAACTCATTAATGTTATAGAATGTCACTAATAAGCCATTGGCAAGAGAACCTACATTATAGAGCAACCTAGAGCAATGTCAAATATCAATCAAATAAAGCCGCAGATTGCAGCAGTTCGGTCATCTCACCGATTAGAGCATCTTACCAAGCACCTTGTTGCTTTCGTTTCTTTCTATTTAACTTCAACAATAACAGCCGGGATAACTAAACCAATCATCTTTGTATTAAGTGTGACACAATTATTAGGAGAATTTGTTCCATGTATGGTAGCATAAATTACCTTCCTGGGTCATACAATAAGAACTTAAAAAATAGAACATTCTGTTTGAACATTCAGGTAGCTACGCAAATTAAAAACCATCCCACATGTCTCCTATTATTGGATATTCACTCTTCCAACTGTAGCGTTAAATACATCTTGTTTTCATTTTCATATATTTCAGAAAAGGTGATCCTATTTTTATGCAAGTACACCAGCTTTCGTATTGACACAAGTAATGTTCTAATTTCCATGTGCCTTTGCTCAGAAAAAATTATAGACCTTCTTCCATAAGTGGTTCATTTAACACTTACATCTGGATTCTTGCTTGTAGGTTAGTCTGCCTTATGGATTTTGTGCTTCAGTCAGGAGAATTTTCCAGATTTTTAACTATAGAGCAAGCAAAAAGAGTCCAAAAGTCACAATGTTCAGACAAGAAGTTTGTCACAGATACGTCAAGTGACTCCTCAAGTCTAGTTAGTTCAAGTGAACTTTGACTATACCAGAGTCTAAAAGAACTTACAAAATAAAGCCACATACTGTTGTTTCATTGTTGTCCCTTTTCATGGATAATTAATTGAGACAGCTGTCCTCCCCCTTTTGCTCATTTTCTGATTTTGATAAATTCTTTCACATGTCCAAACCAAAGAAGCATGGACACAGATATGCGACAAGACACCAACATGCCGATACAACAGAAAAATTAGAGGAAATTAGTTGGAGCCAAAAATCCACATCATCGTTGTGGCAGAAGGAAGCTACCCATCAGCATAACAATATTATTCAGAAGATTAGGATTGGGGATGCCACTTTCACCGGTGAGAAGAACATTAGCTAAGGGTTTCTAATTTTTACAAAGATCTGCATTTGGTGGCAGGATCATGACACCCATTGAGATAGTGCCTTTTCAACTCTCTCAAAATGAAGGGGGAATTTGGAACCCATTTACGTAGAGGATGTGGTAGCTACCACTTACTTCAAACATTTTTAAAAAAAAAAGGAGATGAAAAAAGGAAAAGAACAAAGGGGTAACAGGATAGCATGATAGTACCAACATAAAAAATAAAAATAAATAAAAAAACGACACCTGTGTTTGGGAGGGGAAAGATTGGGTACACACCTAATTTTTGACATAATGTACAAAGTGGTTGCCCCGAGACTTAAACTCAAACCTCAAGGTTATTAGGCCAAGGTTTTACCATTGAACCAATGGTCACCCCTATGATAGTACCAACATGACTTGACAAAAAGCTTCAAATATAGAGAATAAAAGATTGCCACCTGAAGTGCTTTAACTTGCAGCATTCTAGGACTCCCATGGTAAATCATTTATATTTGGCATCAATTTAACATCACAAATGTAAACATCATGCAAAATAACATAATTTTAAAACTTTCAAAATGTTAAAGAACTAGGTAAAGAAAGGACAGCTACCTTATCTTGTATTTCTGGGTTTGTTGCAAGCCTTGCTAAGACGTTACCAATCAGACCTGCGGTAGTTAGATAACCATGAAACATCACACTCATAATATTTCCACATGGTTCTCTTGCATTAACATGATCATCAAACTCCTGTAAGAATATGTTATCTGGCGTCACAACATTAGCAGAATGTGATGCAGCAGATGCAGCTCCACCAACTGTATTTCTTGTTTCATGATGAGGGTTTTGATCCATTTGGCAAAATAGCTTGTAATTTTGTCTGCACTGTTGGATTATGTCCTGAGTCAATGATTTCAACTTCGTACATAAATATTGGTACCTCCAAAATCCCTGATTCCAGATAGGAGTAACACTATATGAGGCCCAAAAGCAAGCATCTTTAGCAATCATCATGAGAAGTTCTTCATAAATAGTTGCCTCAGACCAACCCAAAAATGCATCCCCAAATAGTGTAGCTCCCAAGACAGTACAAGCTAAATGTTGAGAAACCATTTTACAGTCTAAACTCCCTTTTGACATGATATCTTGGATTCTTTCCATCACACAGTCCACAACTTTTGTTGGAATCAAATTTGCTCTCTGGAGCAATTTCCCATTTAGTTCTGTTGCCAATAAGTCCCTTCTCTTCTGCACCTGCAGACAATGAAAACACGTGCATGTTAGTCCTTGAAGATGAGAAATGAAAGCAAATACAATCCATTTCAATAGAATAAAACAAAGTAAAACTCACATAGCAAACAGAAAGAAAAAATAAAGAGGAAAAGGAAAAAGAGAGAAGCAAAAAAAAAAATCTTTACACAATCCAAAGAGGAACCAATAATAATCAATAGGCTAGGTGATGAATTTATGATTTAAAGATTTTTAATATATATATTAATTGGTTTAGATAAGTGATTTCAAGAGTTTAAGATATCACAGTGAAGAGACCCTAAACATATAGCAACGACAATCATGAGCCAATTATCAAAGGGTATCTAAATAATCAGAATAATTGTTTTAAAATCCATCGACTTTACGTGAAACACCACGAGAAGTTAGATTAAGACCAATTGGCCGAACTTGAATAGGGCAAAATTCAAGTGGAAAAATTTGGCAGACTAGTCGAAATAATCAGCGAAATTCGGAAATATATATATTTGAAATTTAAAATAAAAATAAAAAATAAAAAGTCATGAAGACTTTATTAATTACATTGTAAAGCCAAATTTCTAGAAATGTGGTTGAAATTCTGGGCGGTTGGACATTTGGGGAAGACATTCAAATACTTCAAAATAAAAAATAAAAAAAATTACATTTTTGGAATTTTTCATAAAGTTGGAAATTTGGAAAGAAAAAAAATATGATTTGGGCAAGTGCACCAAATTGAATGAAAATATACATTTTTAAAAGAGTGCTGCTATTAGCACCTATCAAAATTCTTTGGACCCCCAATTTCTTTGGACACCCCACTTATTACCAAATCTACCCATTTTCACAATGAAATGCACACCCACCTGAATCCATTCCAATTCCCTCTCTTCTCTCTCTCTCTCCTCATCAGTGATGTCTCTTCTCTCTCTTTTCTTTCACTCTCTCAAAACCCCTTTTGTTCATATGAGAAATTGAAGATTTCTCTCTCTCTCTCTCTCTCTCTCTCTCTCTCTCTCTCAAAACCCCTTCAAAACCCTAGTTTTTTCTCTCTCTTCTCTCTCCAACATTAACCACATCTAAAAAGTGGTTCCTGAAAACACAATGCATTTACTTGTGAGGTTGGTGTTCTTCGTCGATTAGGATTTCGACGACGTGGTTCTCTTTGGAATTTGCCATTGATTGGGAAATTCAGATGAGAAAGTGAAGATTGATGCGAATTGTAGGAATAGAAAACAATGTATATATATGGAAAACTAATCTCCATAATATTCCATAATATTTTCAGAATAGAAAACTAATCTCCATATTTTCACAATGAAAAGCACACCCACCCAATTTGTTCACCACTGTGTAGCCGAAAAAATGTATTTTGTTCAGAACTGTTTTGTCAAACAATAAGGATCCTGTCAGTACTGTATGTCCGAACAAAATTTGTTCATCACTGTGTAACTTGAATCCATTCTAATTCATAACTTAAAATAACATGAATTAAATCCATTCAAAATACATAACTTAAATCCATTCCAATTCACTCTTTTCCATTCTAAGTTAGTTTAACAAAGAAAATTACATAACTGACTATCTGCATTAATGTTCGGAACTTATGTATTGAACGAAAAGATTATGTTCAGTACTGTGTTACCGAACATAATTGTAACAGTCAGCAAACCAGTACCGAACAACTCGAACGAAACAAGAACGGCCGAAAACGACCGAGAATGTTAATACAAGACAGATAACGACCGAGAATGTTGTCCTCGTCCTCCATTGCTCTACACAGTGAAATAAGTGATGAAGTATATGTTATACTTGAAGCAAAACTTTCAAGTTCAATAGCGTTGATGATGGTGATGAAGATGACACATTCAGGATTTAAGATGATTATGAAAAATAATAGATTTAGGGTTTATGTTAATTGGTTATGAAAAGTAATAGGTTTAGGGTTTACAAACATGGAATACGTATAGTTGGAGTTGGGGGTGGGGGTGGAGGTGGGTGTCCAATATTATAAAATATTAGTTATTATTGATAGGTGGGTGTTCCATTTCATAATGTCTTTTAATGTAATTTTACTTTAGGGTATAATTGTAATAAAAAAAAATTATAAAATGGGGGGTCCAAAGAATTTTGACAGGTGCTAATAGCAGCACTCTTTTAAAAACATCAACAAAATCAAAAAGATAAACACTAACACATTCAAGCTTCAAACACTTGGTTCACAAAACACATGTAAGTTCCTTCCAAGGATACCAATGCATAGTGTAGGTGTGAGAATAAAAGCAGAAGCGCAATCTGCAAAACGAATGTTTTAAAGAATTCCTAGAGTCCAGTGTGCATCCTAAGTGGCAATATATATACAAGTACAAATATATTGTATATATTTGTATTTGAATAAAATAAAAAAAGCATTAAAAAAATTAAAAGAAAGTAAACTTAGAAGTGTTGCTTAGTGGCACTCGGAGTTGCGTATTAAAAAATAAATAAAAACAGAAAAATATGAACAACAGTTCAACTCCATATATATTAACAACAACAACAATACTGATAATAATAATAATAATGTGTCATTTTGTATATTAGGCAATATTGGGCGGCAAGTTCATTTTGGGGTTTGAATTGAAATATCAATATTTTGAGTCAAATAAAGGACCCCAAATAAATGAAATTTCTGCTTTAAAAAAAAGATCAAATTTATGTTGACACAGTCAAATGCGCAATTTTGACCAGTGAAAGGCATGATTTGAAAAGGATTTTGCACTCAAATCAAGAATTTGCGCCTTGGATACCAATTCACGAGGTCCAAGAACAAATCAATTGTACTAAGTCCCCAACCCAAAACAAACAAAGAGGAGAAGAAAAAAACCATTAAATGTTATACGAGAAATGCATTTTGTACATATTCTTATTTCATTGTAAGGATGAACAGTAAACCAGTACAAGATTGACTTAAAAATGCATAGAGAAAAAATATTGGAATCTAAAGGAAAAAAGTTATTTGTAAAGAGATGACGAAGATGCAGAGTCTAGATCCCAGAAAATTGTGGTTGTGAATTTTTTAAAATCATTAGCCGTCCCTATAAAAGTCAATGATAACTATCTTAAGCTCAATTGTCACATTTTTAACCCATTTTGAATCATTAGTCAGTTCTACGCACTGATCATATGGTTGTCCCAAAAATTCCACTCCATGAAACAGCATCTTACCATCAGTAATATTTTTTTTGTTATCTTTTGTTTAAAATAAATTACTTGCACAAATTTGAATTAGAACAGCTACTAATATTTTGCAATAGTGTCGTGTGAATTTTAAAATAATAATAACAACAATAACATGGGTCTTTGATGCATGCCACGAATCATATTCCCATCTCTTAATTAATTCTAATCATACTAAGCAGGCAGGTTCTCTCAATTGGCTGTTCATCCAAATTCTGCACCATGTGTAACAACTGTAAGTTAGCCTTCAATGCCACAGAGCTTCCTTTTATGGATTATAGCACCGATCTGGTTTCCATTCAAGTTATTAACAAAGTCATGGTTGTCATGCTACAAAAAATGTTCCCAATTGGTCATATGAGAGTTATTATCAAAACAACCAATGAGCAAATCCCTGATCTCTGTATGTAGAATATCTAGAGAACTGAAGCTCATGGGACATTTGTTAATCGAAGCATACATTCGATCTGTGTTAAGTCACCAACTTTCCCAAAAGCCTAAGCTGTTAGGAAATGGGTCCAACAATGTATATCAAGTTATCTAATAGTATGCAGAATGTCTAAGCATATATTTGAGCCAATAATAACTAGTAAATAAAGTGTAAATACAACATATAATATAAGCATATAAGAAACAACAATAACTAGTAAACCAGTACAAGGTAATTGTTGAGCCAATAATACCTAGTGAATAAAGTGTAAATACAACATATAATATAAGCATATAAGAAACAACAATAACTAGTAAACCAGTACAAGGTAATTGTTGAGCCAATAATACCTAGTGAATAAAGTGTAAATACAACATATAATATAAGCATATAAGAAACAACAATAACTAGTAAACCAGTACAAGGTAATTGTTGAGCCAATAATACCTAGTGAATAAAGTGTAAATACAACATATAATATAAGCATATAAGAAACAACAATAACTAGTAAACCAGTACAAGGTAATTGTTGAGCCAATAATACCTAGTGAATAAAGTGTAAATACAACATATAATATAAGCATATAAGAAACAACAATAACTAGTAAACCAGTACAAGGTAATTGTTGAGCCAATAATACCTAGTGAATAAAGTGTAAATACAACATATAATATAAGCATATAAGAAACAACAATAACTAGTAAACCAGTACAAGGTAATTGTTGAGCCAATAATACCTAGTTTTTAAAAGAGTGCTGCTATTAGCACCTATCAAAATTCTTTGGACCCCCAATTTCTTTGGACACCCCACTTATTACCAAATCTACCCATATTCACAATGAAATGCACACCCACCTGAATCCATTCCAATTCCCTCTCTTGTCTCTCTCTCTCCTCATCAGTGATGTCTCTTCTCTCTCTTTTCTTTCACTCTCTCAAAACCCCTTTTGTTCATATGAGAAATTGAAGATTTTTCTCTATCTTCTCTCTCTTCTCTCTCTCTCTCTCTCTCAAAACCCCTTCAAAACCCTAGTTTTTTCTCTCTCTTCTCTCTCCAACATTAACCACATCTAAAAAGTGGTTCATGAAAACACAATGCATTTACTTGTGGGGTTGGTGTTCTTCGTCGATTAGGATTTCGACGACGTGGGTGTTTTTGGAATTTGCCATTGATTGGAAAATTCAGATGAGAAATTGAAGATTGATGCGAATTGTAGGAATAGAAAACAATGTATATATATGGAAAACTAATCTCCATAATATTTTCATAATATTTTCAGAAGAGAAAACTAATCTCCATTTTTTCACAATGAAAAACACATCCATCCAATTTGTTCACCACTGTATAGCCGAAAA